GCCTTGTGGTCATTTAGGACATATGTGTATTTTTCATAAACCTGAATGTAAATTGATTAGTGGGGCTGCTAGCTGCCACAGTGAATAGAGTGCCGGGCCTGGAGTCAGGAAGGCTCATCTTCCTGAGTTCAAATCTGGCCTCAGACACTTACTAGCTGTGTAACCCTGGGCAAGTCACTTAACCTTGTTTGCCTCAGTTTCCTCATCTGTAAAATGAGCTGGAAAAGGAAATGGCAAACTACTCCAGTATCTTTGCCAAATGAACCTCAAATGGGATCAGGAAGAGTCAGACATGACTGAAACGAATGAACAACAAAGAAGTTGATTGGTATAACTCTATAATGAATTTTGGGTAATGGAGGAAGCATTGCTGAAGCTTAACTATCCAGGAGCAAGATGGCAAGTGGTGAGGTTTATAATGTTCTTATCATCAAATTGCATCAGTAACTAAAATGCAACATGATCTTATACAACTTATCTGTAATTTATGAGGAGTTAAAAATTATTCAAACTATCTGTTAAAATACAGTCTCAATTCTTTTCATAAAAGGTACACAGAGCTACCCTTTAATGTCATCCAGGGACAGATTTAAATAATACAGAACAAAATCAGTGACAGCTACAGAACTAGTACCCTGTTTCCTTGATTATCCACTAAATAAGACCTCCTCACAAAATCACATTATGTAGAAAGAAAATTATACTTGATTTAAAAAAAAAATCATTTTATCACCCCCAGAAGGAAAGGGTGGTTATAACACTACAAACAACATTTTATCTCCTGGATAGGCTGTTTGCAAAGTGAAGCCACATGCTGGATTCCTGGCTTGAAGTTGAGAATTTTAGACCAGGTCATCTGTGTCCTAACAGATGACTTTGTTCAATTATTTTCATATATAATTGGATTCAAATTCATATTGAGATATTTGTGCTTATTTTGAAAAAGTATTCACTTATAAATTTTGAAATTATTAAAGTATGCCCCATCACTTTCTTAAATGTGATTTTTTTTTAATACTCCGAACTACTGCAAGATGCATCTTTCATTGCTGTCTAAAATACAATGTATAAAATAATACGCAAGGTAAAGTGTTAGTATTATCTAGAGTGTTTTCCTGGAATAAATATACTCTTAAATTATAACTTAATAACCTATATATATATATATATATATATATACACATTTATTTTTTTAATCTATTTATGGAAATCATCCTCTAACAAACTGTCAGTTTTAATTACTTCCATTTTTCCTAAAATACTCCAATATTCGTAGATCATAATGGCCTCCATGAGATTATAAGATTGGTGCCTCTTCTCATTACTTGGTAGAAGGGGTGGGTGTTAGAAATATCCTTCAATTGATAAAGAAATAAAGTCACTTCTCTACCCCTTTCCCTCTCTCTCTTTCCCCAGGATCAGAGGCAAATTCTTTTACATTTAAAATAAGGTACCATTTGGCACATTAAGAATTTACAGAGCTCTAGGAAAAGTATTTCCAGTGCATGTCAATTCCGCAAATGCATACTTACTTATAAGAGAAACATATAAACAGAGGTAGAGAGGCTTCCTTTCTTCTAATCCCTATTTTTTTTGATTCAGAAATATTAAGTAATATAGTATACTTAAATCAGATCACAGATAGCCCTTAAGATGTTCTCTGTAGAGGTGTTTTTACTTTCCAAAGGGCTTCTTAGCACTTGCCTGCTAAATAATTCTGACTGTCTCAACATTGGCAGTTAGCCCAACTTTCTTTTCTTCAAACTTGGAGGGGGCAATAGGAAAGGTTGGGGGAATGAAGGAGTTACAAGTGAATCTTTACTCCCTTCTAAGACCTTCTTTACATGTCAACTTTTGCCTAGAGCAAAATTTAATAGGAGATTTGTGGATCTCTATTTCTAGAGATTTACTATGGAAACACTGACATAACCTTTAACCATAGCAAACAGTGCCACTCTAATGAGTAGGCTATACCAAACCACTTGCAAACTGAAAACTACACAAGGAACAGATAGATCCTGGCAGGAATTAATCTGCCATTTTCACACATCTGCCCAAGGGAGGTATTGTAATTGCAAAAATTTACTCTTAGACTGCTGAGACTCATAGTAATTATGTTTCTTTTTTTAATAGAAATAGCCACAGGTGGTAACAAATTGGGTTTTGAGATGGGAAACTGGGCATGCATTCTAACCCAAATTACTATGTAATTGTCTTGATTATAATATACTGTGGAAAGCCTATTGCTCAAAATTTAAATCAGAACAAAAAAAAAAGTATCTTTTAAATATATTCCCCTCCTCCCCCAGCTTCTCAATATGTGGGCCTATTGCCTCATTTGTTGGTATAGCTACATCTAATGCCAGTGCAGGCAATTTACAATAGATTTGCACCAATAACTATCCCAAATTCCTGTGGTTTATATTTGTTTAACAGCATAAATTCTCTATTTCCTCTCTTACTCTCATCTGGGGATAAACAGTAGCTTCACTAAGAAGGTCAAGATCTGGAAATTTAGCTAATAATTATCATGGATGCAAATACCAAAATTCAAAATGTAAAGTTGCATTCTTTAAATGTAAGTTGAAATTAAAACCTATTTGGTTATTTATAAGTCTGTTTGACAGAAATGTGCCCTTTTTGCTTATCTACTGATCCACATAGATAGATAGATAGATAGATAGATAGATAGATAGATAGATAGATAGATAGATAGATAGATAGA